TAATTCCTTAAACTTATTCCCCGAACAGCCCGCTTCTGCAGCACAAATATGGATTGAACCTCTGCAGCAGCACCCCACAGTAAAATACCGTACGACATAACGCTGTGAAAGTAGCTATGATACACAATTTTAGCCGTGTCCTTATCAGTAAACTGTCGGATTTTCTTTACTGCATATGCTGCAGAGCTCAGCCTATTCGAAAGAGTCTCTATGTGTGGGCCCCACTGGAGTTTTCTATCTATTGTTATGCCTAGAAAAACAGTTTTGTCAACAAAGTTTAGTTCACTGTCCTTAATTTTCAGGTTACCAATATCTCGCTTTACGCTAGTAGTTGTAAATCTAATACATTTTGTTTTATTCTCATTACGCAGTCAATTACATTAAACCAGTTAACTATACGAGATATAGAGTTGTTTACATCGTCTAATAATACGTTATTCCTATTCACTTTAATAATTTAATTCAGAGATCCATGCATAAAATTTAATAAATTACATTCCTGTCTGCAGATTGCAGCGTTCCTATGGTTTAAAAATATTCGAATTGAAATATGTACATAACATGCGAATGTAAAAAATCGAACCGTGTTATATGTATCAAATACACTCAAACTGTTATAAAGCTGTAAATGTTTGCACAACGTACCGGGCGTGGCAGTAGGCGGTCGATAACTCGTGATATTTCAAGAATGTATTACGATTAGTGATTAATAAATGTAATTTTTTAACGATTATAAATATTTCACTGAGTAATAAGCGGCAGCTTTCTATATATGGAAAAGTCGATAAATACCAAGCTTCAAGAAAAATCAATTTATCGGCGGCGCTATATAAACTATGCGCGTTTTTTAATGTAATATTTCTTTACTTTAATGGCCCTTGTTTCTGTGTAACAAATATGTAATTATATTACAAGTTATGATGAAGTAGGTATTGTTATTTTATTGGTAAAAACTGGCATTAAAAGACACTACAGTAGGAGCGATAAATGTTTTTATAAAACAGTCGTTTTATATTTGAAAAATACACTCACTCTCAATCCGCTGGCTCTTCGACCCAAAATATGTCTTGGCCTCCGGATCCAGTAACTTCCCGCCGATAGCTGGCTGCAGATCCTCCTACACCCTATCGAACCAGCACTACCTCGGCCTCTCCACCTTCTGGTCTCCGACCACTCTATATTACTTATTTGAAAAATATTGTTTATGTTTTGTAATTATTATTAATTAAGTATTATATTTAACTTTGTGAGTACAAAACGAATCACGCCCTATAGAAAAAATCTATTATTTTTCTTCTTAAACGATTTTTATTAAACGATCGTTTACTTACGTATAACGCAAGTTGAAACTTAATAAATATTAACTATTTGCCGAATCCGAATTTTCGGAACCAGGTGTCGCAACTGCGCATTAACATCAAATACAACCTGTTTACCCCGAGACATTTATTCCATATCAAGTGTTTTGTGTAAATAAGTTAAATGTTGATTTTTTATAGATTAGAGCGATACTATGACTCTGTAAACACGGCTCGTTTGGGTTCAATATACGATACTAATCTAATATTTAATTGCTGTAAAAATTTATATATGAAATCAATGTGTTTGTGGTTGGAGAAGAAATTAGGAAAAAAGTTATTTCATGTCGTACCAATTTTTAATAGTAAAGTATATCATTTAACATCAGGTGAGCCTCGTGCCCGTTTTGTTCTATCAAAAAAAGACATCGTATCTCACTTAAACCAAAAGCATGTTTTAGCGTTAGAATACCTACTTAAGTAAAGGGTTTAATTTTTCCCGACTATATTTACAAATTCATTCAGACCTGCCAAAACTGACATCCACTGGTATCATTAGTAATCCTTAACATATAGTGACTTTTAACATGCAATTATCATTGTAAATGAAAAGATGTCCAAATATAATAAAGACAAGAGTTGAGAGTCTTGGGCCGTTGGGGCACTGGAGCTAATTGAAGATATAAGTTGGCGCCTGGTAGATAGTTCCGGTGACCCCAGAGCTGGTGCTTTCCACGCTCAACGAAATAAGTATCGAAATACAGCGAGGAAATGCTGCCAGCATTAAAGGTGCCAAACTTTTTAAAAAAAATTTTCTATATCTAATGTAGGTTATAAAGATATGACACGTATTTTTTACACGCTTTATATTAGCTTCACCTGTATGTATGTATGTATGTATGTAACCGACTCCTTCGGACTCGATTTTGACCCACTTTAAACGGACAGATTTTATTCAAATTTTGCGCACCTGTCAAAGATCGATGACAATGCAATAATCGGAAAAAAAAATTAAAAAAATTTAACTAAAAAATAAATAATAGTTAAAAAAACTAAAAAACACGCTTTTAAAGCACATCAAACTAAAAAGTGAAAAATAATTCCTAATTTAAGCTGAAAATGTTAATGAACAAAAAATACTAGTATTATTGTGAAAAAGCGTGGGTTGCTTTAAAAACGTGTTTTTTAGTTATTTTTAACTATTAATTATTTTAACTATAAGCGTAAGGGGATGGTCATACTGAAAGTAATAGCAATTTTTAAACCGCATAAAACGCTGTTACAAACTTATATGGGAATATCTTCTCGCGGAGTGTCTGACAGTCTGTTTATTTTAGACTGGCTCATTACATGTAATCTGTTCTTTATAAAGGTTCCTTATATATAACTCGATACTATATTATTTAAATAAATTCTTAGTTAAATATGCTGATTATTTGAGCCTGTTTCACTATAATTTTATTTGACAATAGACGGAATTCTTTATATACAATTGTACTGAAACAAATGAATTAGAGAAATTCTATAGATACAATATCATTTTGATTCATATTTGGAGTAGGACCCCAAGTTACTATAGTAAAAGAAAAGTTCGTGATTTCGTCTGCGCAAAATTAGGTTAAAAAAAGGGTCAGTTTCTTCACATTCATATAAATTAATATGATGGCAAGGACTACAGATAATAGAAGAATTGACAAGCGTATTTATGGCATAGATATGGTAGAAGGCCTGTTAATCATTATTGTTAGGGAAGTAAAATAAATTGTAACAATTTCAAACATGGACAGTATTTTTCTATTAATTTTTCTATTAATTACCACTTTTATTTGCAAAATTAATCAAATTTAATGAGTATAGTTTTAAAGTCAATACTACTATCAAAGCTAAACAATAGTTTCCCACGGTTTTTATCTAACAGGATACGCGTGGGTGATATATTTAGCAATTTTTTTTTAAACAACTGTACGGGAATATTACGATAAAGTATCTAACGTACGTACAGGCGGTAGGGCGAAGGTCCTTGCCTCGTCAAATCAACAAAGCATCCACGCGCTAATGTATTCAAGGCAGCGATTGATGAAGTATAAAATTTCTCAGTACCGTCTCACTCACAATGGAATTATGATAATTTATCGGTTGGCTTGTGCCGGCCGAGTGTGTGGGAACGCGCAAGGCACGAGCTTTCCCACGACACCGATACGCGAAGAACAACGGCTTACCGAGTATAAGATTGAACGTCGCTTACGACGATTTACATTAAGGTTAAACAACGCGCTCGTTACTGTTTGGGCGTAAGCGCCGCTAAGGTGCTGCGGGCGAGTGTTCTCGCTTCACGTGAGCAATACTTTGGGCGCTTAGGATGTTTCGTGCTCTGGTAAGAGGAGACAGAATTGGAGTAAGTAGCGTCACGGCAGTTTCGACCGCACAATGGCTCGGTTTCGAATCAACTAGCGGTGCTGAGAACTAACACCTTTGCGCGGATGTAGCGATTGTAATTGTTTATGACTAATTGGATTTCATGTACATCGTTTAATGTATACAGTACCGGAGCTCATTAAGCACTGTAATTATTTAATATCAGATAAGGTTAACTAGCTGTATTTATGACAGGAGGTAGCTAAGAAGCCGACGTCATAAAATACAACGGAAAGAGACGATGTAACATTGTAAAATAAAGTTAATACTTCGAAAGAGCAAATTCTAGTACATTTTCAAAATCCCTGATTATAAACATCAGTTAGGTAAAAAGTCAAATTTCTAACCGTGTCTGTCTGTCTGCAAAGCGATAACGCTGCGTGTCGCTTAGCTGCAACGAGGGTTGCTACATAAAAGTTAATATAAAATTTGGGACTTTTATATTTTATATAATTTGAAAACACTAATAGTCTTTAAATTTGTTATGGCTTAATATTTTTTAGTTCTTTTATATATTGCAATTAAACTATAGTTTAATATTCTTTGCTATAACTTTTTAAGTTTTTCACAATTCACTTTATTTTTTATATTCTCCCCTAAATTTTTGAATAAGAACAGGAGTGTGACAGTGATTTAATGTGTCGCCACAAGTCTTATGAATAGTCGTTGTGACGTCATTCAAATTCCCCTCGCGTGTGCTTTCTAAAGGTTATTAGTGACGTCATTGCAAGACGCGCGGACCCTGCGTCTGCGTAGCAATCTGAGGGGAGCGCGTGGGAATGTAGATCCAGGTGCCATCAGCTGAGACCCTAAGACTTGAACAGCTGTACAGTTTGTATGGTATATACTATTTTACGTTATTTAATTAAAAAAGGAAAAAATTAAATAAATAATAATGTGATATTTAGATACAAATAAAATCGTTTAATCTTATTGTTAATTTGTCTTGTACCTATATATTTTTTTAATTCGTTTTTGAATCTAGAAAAATATATATAAGTACAATGTTTACTATACATTGATACACTATTTTTGAATTTTTGTATGCCATTTTAGAATCTAATACCTAATCAAAAAATATGTTTTATTTCAAGATAACTATAAGTAATTATAAAATATATTACATCATTCACGAAAAATAGTGTCATAATATTAAAATTAAACTTCCTTGTGCCACCCCTAATTTTATCACGGGCGTTTTGCCACAATCGCCGTAGGGCGCATAAAAGCAAGTCAACGAGCGGCGCGCGCGCCATTCGCTCAGATACCGTCGCGAGAGCAACACCAATGATTCTACCTGCACGTACTATGTCCCCACACGGGGCTTTCCATCCTCCGGCACACGCACACCCAGATGAAGAACCAGTCTCCCGAACCTACCAATACCGCAAAGTAATGAAACCGATGCTTGAAAGAAAGCGTCGCGCGCGCATCAACCGCTGCCTTGACGAACTAAAGGATTTGATGGTGACCGCTCTCCAAGCGGAGGGTGAAAACGTCTCCAAGCTGGAGAAGGCAGACATCTTGGAGTTAACCGTACGACATTTACATAGTTTGAAACGTCGCGGACAGTTAGTGCTGAAACCTGAAATGTCATATGCGGAGCGTTTTCGCGCAGGATTCGCTCAGTGTGCTACGGAAGTGTCTCAGTTCATAACAAACGCTACAGTGGCCGCCAATGCCATGCATAGGCAGGGACCTGTGGATCCTCAAGCTGGTGCCAGGTTGCTTCAGCATTTAAGCAATTGTATAAGAAGATTGGAGAGTCCGCCTGTTGTACAACCACAACCAATAGTGCCCAATGTAACCAGACCGACACCTGTGCAGGCGATAGCACCAGCTCAGGCTCCCCAAGTGCAGAGGCCAGTTTCGACCGAGAGGTGTTTGAAGAGGCCGCTAGAAGAAACAATAGACGTGGAAACAATTGGCAATAAGAGACAATACGCGCCGCCCTCGCCGCCGCACAGCCCCGCCTCCGAGTCTGACTCCTCCCAGTCGATGTGGCGGCCGTGGTGACAGGCCTGAGACCTGACCTCAGGATCCTCATGATCTCGAATGCTCTCCATCCAGGATTGTGTACCGTGTGATAGTTGAACTTTGTTGTTTTACCGTTAACGTTCCTAGAACCAGTGTGTTGGCATGCCTTGCTTGTTGATTGTTTTAATTTAATAAAGTTAGTTTTTTTAAATCGTGTTATTTCTTTCGGGAAAATGCATTTATTGTAGGACTTACATACCGTTAGTTAAGTTTTTACTGTGATATTCATACAGTTACATTTGTTAGGTTAGTTTTTCTAGAATTATATAGAGATGATTAAACCACTGTAATCAAATAATAAAGAATGAGTTGTATTTATTATCTGGTTCGTTTTAATTCAAAACAAATATTTTAATCTCTTACCAGCTTTTATCAACACTATAATGTAGATCAGCGAATCGATAAAATCGATATTGCGGTAATTATCGTAAACAAGTTCCACGGTGAACAATAAAAGTGTTTCATGAAATATTCAACAGATACCACATTTAAATGTCAATTCCCACGCTGTCTCTGTAATCTATGCTCTCTTACGTCGAACTATCGTGAGAGGAGTAGACAACTTAATGGCAACGTTGTTAACAGTGATCAGAGTTTTAATCACCGCGATTAATTAATAATTCTTGATCTAATAATATGATTAATTTAACATTAAAGCTTGTGATTGTGCGATTTTTTTCCATGACGCATAGTTCAACCTATAAAAAAGTAATAAGTGTTACTTCTATTTTATTCATAGCTTGCAGAGTATAACAGAATTAGCAGAAATGTTATTACATATATTTTCTATAAGCTTTTTATAAAATCTACTTACGATCAACTTAGTACACTTAGTTACATTACCAAAATAGTTACGTGAATAAAGTCATACAAGTTTTAAAACTATTACATTTGAAGGAACTCATTTAATGGAACAACATAAACTAATCAAGAACTCACTAGAAGAAAGCTTTTCACTCAACAGGTTCTATTTAAGCGCTAAACACACTAGATTGCCACAAAAAACAAACAAAATATTGCTATTAAAATCAAGTATCAAAAAATTGGCTACCGGTCAGACGCATTTATAAGTTACATTATTTTTGAAGACCAGCCTCTTTGAAACAATTTCTTCACCGGGAATCGATTCATCGGCGTCCGGGATACATACCCGAGATGCTACTACTATTGCAATACAAAGTTATTGGCCAATTAAATACCAATGACCATTTAGGGTCAACGAAAATGTTATATAACAACCTTTAAGTAGCTTACTTTAAGTCTTATGTCCCCTATTTGGGTCAGACAGCAATCTTTGTCTATGGCTTCACTCAAGGTCGATCCAGCTTCTATCGCCTCTGCAATGATGCTTCGTTGCCACTTGCCAGGTCTGTTTTGGGTAGCTTCGTTGCCTTGGAGATTCCAGAAACCTTCTTGGCAATGTGTCCAAAAATGTGTCCATTTTGGTGCTGTACAGTTTTGCTTCCTACTTCGTTTTATTATTATTAGTTAAGGTTCAAGAAAGGGCACGTTAAGATTAGGTGTTTGTTATATTAATTAAATGTATAATTGTATATGTACAAATAGTAAAAAAAACATGGGGTGCTACAACCAATTTAGGTCAGGGCCTCAGATTTCTGTATCAGTTTCGTGATCAATTATTTATCAATCTAATACGCAAGTAGATCAGCCTCCTGTAGTGACTTTTTGGGTCTAAGCCAAGCCCTCACGATGTTTTCCTTCACCGTTCGAGCGAATGTTAAAATGCGCATATAGACAGAAAGTCCATTAGTGCCGTGCACAGCCGGGGATCGAACCTCAAGGATGAGTGTCGCACGCAGAAGCCACTAGACCAACACTGTGCGAGCAATCTCAGACATCATTAGCGAATTGAATACATATTTCACCAGTTATAAGTACTTAGGTAGATTTTAAAGGGACTAAGGTAGGCATGAGACACATTTCTGTGTATCATTTAGTTTATAGGTAACCTATAAAACGACGTTTACAGATGACTAAATAATGATACCACATATTTCCTTCAAATAATATAGCCCTTAAATAATTACTAACCGAAGTAGCGAGAGTACAAATTGGTCCGATTCTAATTGAGTATTGCGTGCCGCGCCGTGGGAACGGTGAAAATAATATATTTACCGATTTACCTTAACCGTGGGAGCTACAGATTAATGATCTGTGGTGTATTGTTTTAATCTGGTTAGGTGAATCTAGGTCTGATACGTCCGATTATCCGCACAAATCTTATACTAATAGTTTTACTTTACCATTTTCGGCATATCTCATTGTCAAAAACAATGTTATCAAATAACATAGCTTTTTTATTTATTTCCCCAAACTGTATACATTATAAATACAATTTGTGGGTGTTAAACCAGACACGGTTTGTATGAGCCACGGGAGTCGCTTCTCGATATCCTAGCTGTAAAAAAGTTTCGATTAATTTCATTCGAAATGACTGTTTCATAATTCATTAACACAACATTAATGTATTTCCTAGTGGTTGTTTAAAACCGTACTTTGCCGGTTTTCTGCTCTTAACTTACTTTTTCCAGAGGGCATCCACAGTGAGTCTCCATCGTGTTCGGTCTTAAGCTTCGTAATTTCACCTCGCTCCAAATCAATCCGACTCTTTCAGCGTTTTCTGCTCCTTCGACTTTAGATAAATATGTTACTTTCCGTCAGGATCCTCCACTCATCACAACAGTAGAAAAATGGATATACTTATTTTATTTTGATTTTTTTCCTAACATATCCACCATGGTACTATATTATTAGATAATAATACGATTTTGTAAGTTGGCGATTTGTTTTAGTTCCAAGTTCTGGAATAGCATAGACCAGAATTAATGACAACTGTTGACCCATATAGAAGTGTACCTACTCATTATATAAGTGTTAAATTATCTATAAAAATAATAGTTATTATTATTAGTGTTGTTGTAGCAAAGGCTCTTTGAATATAAGGTTAATTAACATATCCTTGAAAATTACTTATTAACTGATACTTACCATAATAATAGGCAACGTACATTCAAGTTTAACGTATTGTAAAAATACCTACGATGCTCAAATGAATATAAAAGAAGATAAAATCCAAGTAGGAAGTTTCGATTATTTTAATCGCTATCTTATCAAAATATATTATATTTATAGTTGTATGTATTGATTTTGTTAAATCTACTAAAAAGTGACAAAACGTTACGTTATAAAGAGAGAAGATTCTACATATTTTGTAAGTTTGCTTTTTGTCCAAATTGATAAACTGATAATTCACTCTTCAATAATAGTTATAGACATTATTCAGATATTCATAATTATTACCTTAAGGCGAGAATTATTTGAAATAAAAATATCCTAATTACGTTTGCAATCTAATACTCGACATTTTATTTAAAAAAGGCATTAAAGGTATACTACCATATTGCCAATTATATATGTATATGTATGTAATAACTTTATTTTAGTTTTCTTTTGATTCATTTTTAATTACCTTAAAAAAAATAAGATATCTTAAGAAAAACAAACAACTTTATTATTGCATAAATAAAAATAACTTTACATATTAATCTCCTTAAAATATTGTGACATAAAACATTCACAACTTAAAAGTATAATTTACGACTGTTAATATATCCTAGTATTAATTATCTTGGCTCGTGTTGACGTTTAATTCTTATAGCGGGCCTAGTTTAGTCTCTATTTCGGATAATTCAATCTAAACACTCTAATAAAAGCTAAAAGAAAATAATCTACACAATGGCTTATACGATACGTAGAATCTTTTTATATATACCAGCTGTCTGTACTCAGAGTCATTCATTAAATTATCTCTATAATTAAAGAACGTAACTCAACTGCGAAATTAAATTTTTACTGATTGACTTAGGCAGACTGGTTTTAGAGAACTTTTTAAACCTTTACAAAATGCCAATATTTATTAATGTTCAATCATGATTGGTGGGCGAGAAAATGATTAAAACTCCAATTCCTTGCTTTTTTCATAACAATAATAAAACGCTGCATCCGGATTGAGTTTAAAAAAATAATATTGCTGTTTCATTATAGCACACTATCATTGCCTTTTTAGTATTGTTTAATTTTATAAACAACTCAAATATTTCAATGTGAAAGCCTTCGGGCTAAATTTAGCATAAAAATGTATCGTTTGTGCGTGTCGAAATGCCTGTTCGAGAAACTAGTTTTTAGGGAGAAATTTAATAATTGTAATCATATTTTAAATATAAATTGGATTTGTATGGGACTGATCCGTACTCCCTGCAACTCAGGTAGGATTGACTAATTATTTACCTTTATTGAGGATACTAAAAGCATGTATTTCCATTTTATACTAAGCGAATCTCAGCCTATTGGTTTATATTACGAAAGGAAATATTGTGAGAAAACATACATGCCTTTTACCCAAAAATGGACGGAATATTGTGTAAGGTGCTGTAAGGCTGAATAATCCAGATTTAAATTTAAGAATATCAGGCCAAGGAGCTGTTTTAATAATTTCGCCTTAATTCTTATTAGGAATACATATTAATAATATCTATAGACAATTACTTATAACTGCAATTATTATATTTTAAAATTCGGGATAAGATAGGAATATTTTTGAATAAAATTGTTTTAAAATGTATGTAACACAAATACACAAGTGTACAGAATTATATTAAACATTTAAGGACAAATAAAATATAAATATGTAGCTATAAACGGTATATTTATATGTTAATCGATAATTTATTTTTATTGCCTTCGAATGGAGGTTATTGGTGTATTTTTAATAATTACAACTTTGAGCCGGGCCGTCACGTTTTTAATTATTTTCGAAGTGAATGTGTGATGCACGATGCAATTAAGATTAATGTGTTGGTGTCAAAATAGCTTGAAGGTGTCTATATTATAATTTTTAATTAGATTTATATCCTCTGTGGGTTAGTGGTAAATATTGCTGAATTCGGAGTTCTGGATTC